TGTATATCTGACCTTGTATTTCTATCTGGAAAAATGCAATAAAAAATATTATTAAAAAAAAAAAAAATATTCTTTTGTTTTTAGTACAGGTTTGCAAGGGGAAGCAAGGATATTGGGAAGACAATTTCAGAGCGACATCGATGCATCACAGAACAATATGAAGTAGCCGGCCAGCCTGAGTCTCTCAAAAACATAAATTGTTTGGATGCGTTCCTTTCCCAGGATGCCGCTGGATTTATTTTCTGCCCAGTTGCGAAATTGGTTAATATATTAACTGGTCCCATTGCTGGCGAGAACTTCTATTTACATTATTATTTCCCCCCTTGCTTTTAAGTGAACCTCTTTTGAACTATCCCCTTTTGTGCTTGGCTCTGGGGTTGTCACTCTTTCTCTCTTCCCCCTCCCCTCCCCTCCCCCTCCCCCCCTACCCCCGGCCTGTTTACATGATGGCTTTGAAAGCCTTGTCACCGTGTGCTCTCTTGGGAGTTGTGCGAATTGCACTACTGCTTCATTTGGAAGAGACACTCATCTCTGGAGCCCCCATGCTGTGCAAGAGTGCATCAAGGCCAAGTAAGCCCCTTGATGCTGCCTCATGCTGTGATCCTCCTTTGCACTGTGTCATGTGTCGTGGCGGTTTTCCCACAATGCTCTCTTTAGTTCAGTGTCAGGGAAAAAGAACAAATAATCAGCTGCCGTCACAGGCAAACATGCTACCCACATGGCAGAAAGAAGAGAAGCTCTACTTCCAAGTGGCCCAGATTTGCACACAATCTCCTGTATTGGTCTGGTTTAGAGGTGTGGGGGTTTAAACTATGCTTCCAACCCTAACATTATTCTTTTCATTAACAAGAAATCTTCTTTTTATATATACAATCAAGGCTAAGTGGGGCAAGAAGGAGAGATGTTTCAGAAGACAGGGGAGAAAATAAAACCCAATTTTCTTATGTGGAGAGCCAAGGTAGAATAAATATATCCCAGAAGATATAATGGACAATAGCTGAAGCCATCTGAAATTAACATTTCATATTGACAACATAGATTTTCAATGTCAGAGGCATTAACGTGCTTCAGAGAGAAGGGGTGGGGTGTGATTTCTGCTGTAAGAAGGTATTAATCATTTAATAAACATGTCCTGGCTGGTTCTTGTACCCTTTATGTTGTGCCATCAGGTGCTATCAGTAGGCTGAATGATGACACCCAGCTCTATTTCCTTGTTCCTTCTGAATCAGGAGAGGCAGTTCAGGTGCTGAACTATTGCCGGGAGGCAGTGATGAGTTAGATGTGGGCCAATACATTGAAGCAAAAGCGAGACAAGATGTAGGTACTGCAAGTAATGGGCTTTCAAGTCCAGGACGTGGGGAGACATCCTGTTCTGACTAAAACACATGACAAAGGCTACAGACTTTGAACTGCTGATTCTGGGTTTGTTCCCATTGAGCCTATTCCAAAGGGAATGCATTTTCACTATGATGAGTCACTGGTAAAAGTTTGCCACAAAATTGTCTTTGGTAAGTGGTACAGTTTCCCATTGATGATGAAGTTGACCTAACCTGCCCTGTTAACATGCAGTAACTAATTTGCAGCAACTACTAAATACAGACCATTAGAGATGCTGACTGGCTGTGATAAGTGTGATGTATCTGCCAGTAGTCTTATAAACTGCTGGCTTATACACAGCTGCCACAATATTCAAGGTGGAGTCATAACCTAGTGGGACAATTCAATAACCAAGAAAAAAATTGAAAATGTCCTGTATAATAGCAGACTCAACATAACCAAGTACAAAGAGCTTTTAGGTGACAATGACTGAAATAATACACATAAGAGCACTTTACAGGAAAAACCTGTGCGTATCAACCTAGAAGCAAGTTGACCTGCATTAAACAGGTCTTACTCCTTTATTGGCAATTGCACGAGAGATGTTGTGATCATGAAGAGGGAGTGGCATTTCAACAAATTCTCTCTCTGAGCCTTTATGCAGTCCCTGTATATTAGGCGCAAAACTGTGTGTGAGTCATTGCCATATTTCGAGTTCTGAGGTAGCATCCTTTAAAGGGCTAATTTTATGTAGTAGGTAATGACATAGGAACTTGTTTTTAGACTACGGAGATAAGGCAGCGATGTAGCCTTATGTGATCAGTATATGAGGTCAATCTGGGCTGATTGCCAAGACTGAGGATTGATTTATGGGTTTGCAAGATCAAAGTCAGTGAATGACAGGGACAAGTACTGGGTTGGTTCATGTGGGAGAGGAGGTCCTTGAGGACCGGCTATGCCATAACAAGGTCGGGCAGAACAACATGCAGCAGCAATACATAAAGGGTGGGAGGGTAGGCGATCCAACAAAAAGTGGCTGCAGAGCAAGCCACGTGCTTGTGTAGTGGAGATGCCTGGAAGCAGTGCCTGGGACTTCCCACCTCAGATACCGGAGCATGTGGGAATGCCAGCCCGCAATGGTGCCCATCAGAGAGGGTGAGTGGACCTCTCTCATTAGAGTCCAATGACAAACACACAACCAGCTTCTCCTCACCATTCTTAATCATGCGTAGGACAGCTCTGCAGAATTCCACATTTTTTTATCACAATATATTGTCATGATTGGAAAATCCCAAGTATCCACATTTGAACAACTACAGTGGTACCCCAGGTTATGTACTTAACTCATTCCGGAGGTCCGTTCTTAACCTGAAACTGTTCTTAACTTGAAGCTAATGAGGCCTCCTGCTGCCGCCGCACCGCCAGAGCATGATTTCTGTTCTCATCCTGATGCAAAGTTATTAACCTGAAGCACTATTTCTGGGTTAGCGGAGTCTGTAACCTGAAGCTTATGTAACCTGAAGCATATGTAACCCGAGGTACCACTGTATAAGGATAATATCAGCTTTAAGGATATTTGGAGTCTCCTGTGTCATTTTCATGTAGAATAGCTAACATCTGTGCTGAGAAGTAACAAAATTTTCACAAGCAGGAAGGTAATAATGTGAATGTATTTATTTAGAAAGTTTAGATCCTTCTTTTCTCATAGAAATTCTCACTGTTCCCTAATGTGTTTGGTTGATAGGAGGAGCCTTTGTAATATCTCTGCATATTGTTAAGTCCTCCAGACTCATTAGGGAAGAGGAAGTGTTGATGGGCAAACATTGGCTGAAAATAACAGGATTCAGACTACGCAGTAGTAGATGTTTTACTCCTTAATTGTCTTGTGAGAGCCCAACTTGACATGACTTTAAATGTTGTCTCTTCGCATTAATGTGAAAGAGACTTTTAAAAATGTAATTGCTAGCATCAGCTAAGCAGGTGGGGGTTGCCTGATAATTATTGGGATGGCAACAGGCAGAAAGGGACAATTTAACCCATTCCTCACCTACCTGGATCCTGATAAAAATCACTCCTCCCAAGCTGCTATTTGCATTGAGAGGAAATCCCAATTTGTTATGCTCTGAGGGTATGCTTGTGAGAGGTCCTGAAGCATACAGCTTCCTCCCTTTTTTATTTTATTCTGACATATACTTGCAATTGCTGCAGACTAGTTTTTTTGTCTTATTCCAAGGAAGACAGACACATTGATTAAGTTTATTAAATAGGTTCCTTTACTTAAGATTATCAGCCATTGCATGTTACCAACAGAAACAAGGAAGGAAAGGGAAACTGAAATGAAACTCACAGCTGTGGGAAGCTCCCTAATGCCCCTGATACTCCCCTCAGTGACTTTTTCTTCTCAATACAATGGATACTAATTAAAGGCCATTGCCTATTTCAACAACTCTCTCTCCTACACTATTACTATCTCTCTTTTCCTCTGCTTCTGGTACAAATAGAATGTCAGTTATTGCAGACTTATTAACAGTGTAATTCTATGCTTCTACTCAGAAGACTGAGATGCACTGCATTTTCAGTGCCAAGTAAGTGTGCATAGATTGCAGTCTGATTCCTGAAAATAAAAAAAGATAGTATTTCCCCTATTCTTTTGTTTTGTTTTTGTGATAATTCATTTCAACAAAAGATAGAAAGTACTGGTTGTTTGCGAGGTGGGGAGACCTGACACTAATTTTCAGTTGTTTAGTTGCTTTATGTGACAGCTTAAGACATGTTTGCTCTCCAGTCAAATGACTGGAGCTATAATACAAGGCTCAGGTAACAAATCATGCAACACAAACAGGATTTTATCTAAAACCAAGTAATTAAGTTTCAAACTTCAGTCAAGCTCATAACACATTCAGCCTGAAGATTAAAAAACAACAATAGTAAGTGATATTTGCAGCTCAGTTCACAGCTACAATCTATTTTTTATAGTTAAATGAACAAAGATTGAGATTGTCAGAAATTTCAGTCATGGAAACGTTTCTTTCTTTAACCAGTTTTTCTCCCTCTTATGAATATTTCTGCCACATATATACATTGCACTTAGGTTACTGTGTATAACATAGCATATCTATGTCAAGTATGTGCAAGAACAGAAAAACAAGTCTCAACACTGCTAAAAAAAGAAATTATTTAATTGTTTGCAGCCCACCAAATTGAAGTACTACTTAAGCACCAATGAGGGATGCAGGTGGCACTGTAGTCTAAACCACAGAGCCTAGGGCTTGCCGATCAGAAGGTCGGTGGTTCGAATCCCCACAACGGGGTGAGCTCCCGTTGCTCAGTCCCTGCTCCTGCCAACCTAGCAGTTCAAAAGCACGTCAAGTGCAAGTAGATAAATAGGTACCACTCCCGTGGGAAGGTAAACAGTGCTTCCGTGCGCTGCTCAGGTTTGCTAGAAGCAGTCATGCTGGCCATATGACCCAGAAGCTGTCTGCAGACAAACACCAGCTCCCTCAGCCAGTAAAGTGAGATGAGCGCCGCAACCCCAGAGTCATCTGCGACTGGACCTAACGGTCAGGGATACCTTTACCTTTACCTTTTTAAGGACCAATGAAGTCCCATTGCTTTAGCAGAGGATGCTATATGTTTTCCTAGGTTCAGCAACATGCATGAATAGTGGGTGTTGTATCTAGAACTTGTTGTTGTTTAGTCGTTCAGTCGTGTCTGACTCTTCATGACCCCATGGACCAGAGCACGCCAGGCACTCCTGTCTTCCACTGCCTCCCGCAAGAAGACAGGATTCCTGGAGCTTTGATAACTATGTAGAAGAGGGAATTTCAGCAGGTTTGGCTTGCCCAGGGAGGTGCAGTGTGTGGCCCTGTCAAAGTGGTGAAAATAACCAAGAAAGTGGAAAGGTAGGGTTGGCATGGCAGTAGGGTGAGGATCCAATTCCTCATTCCACCAGCTGGCATTGATGAAATGGCACTCTGTTTGGGTAGGGAAGCACCAAACCCACTCCCCGGAAGGTGCCCAGTGCTGAACCCTGGCACAAACCAAGCATCCAGGGCCTCACTGGGTGACTGAGAGATTCCAGCCAGGCAGAGGCCCCAACCCAAACTCAGGGTGTCTAATAGTTAATCCTCTGCCCCAAGCCCCCCCCCGGGGGGGGGGCTCCTTCTATGCTGATCCTGCCCAGTGCTATTTCTGATAGAGTATATGAAATTTCCAACATCACCTAACAGGAATCAGCCGTGACTTACTGAGGGAAAGGTAACCCACTCCAAGCCCTATAACCAATTTAGGTTGAGATGGAAAAAAATCATTTTGAACCCTGTGGGCCAGCGGCCAAGTATTCTAGTGAGGCTCTAGTGCTGAGGCGGGAATGGACTTTGGTATTTCAAATTTCAGTAGCTCCCTGTACGAGGCCAAAATTCAGCGTACCCCCATCTCTCACCTTCTGTTCTGCTCAGTTCACTATGTCATAGTTGTGATGCCCTGCAGCACCCCCTACACTCAGTGCCCAGTGCAGAAGAACAGGTCGCACTACCTTAAATCCATCTCTGACTGACTCAATTCATGCCCAGACTGAGGTTTGTCATACAGGACAATGGGGAAAGAAGTGAAAGTCTCCTTCCACTAAACACCCAAAGAGTATTCCTGCTTTTTGTGTATAGGTGTATCTAATAATACACACTAGTGTTAATCTATGCTCCTTTATGAAACATAAAAGTATAAACAGTATATGAAACCTTTCCCCTTGCCTAACTTTCAGTCAGTTTTTGCTGTAAATAATTGAAGAAAATAACCTGTACATTTAGTTCAGCTCTGAGTCCTACGTTTGCATAGTAAGTAAACAAATTACCTTGATTTGTGAAAGAAATTGAGAAAATGGATGCAATTCCCAATTGCTTCAGAGCATGTGACAAGTGTGGATAGGAAGCAGAAGCCAATGGCAAGATTAAAAGCTGAAACAGGTTTCCCTCAGAGTTGCAAATGATCTACTCAGACAGGGCAATTAAACAAGCCGTTGAAAGTGATAGTGTACTGCACAATGCTAGAAACAACCAGCAAATTGTAAAATTGTCACTAAAAATAGCCCCCGGCGTGATATGTTTTTACAGAGCATCTTAATGCAATGCTAAGAGAACAAGGTAGCAAGGATTCCCAGCTCTGTTCTAACGGTGGACAAAGTCCAGCATCATACAAGGCATTGCCTCAGTAGAAGTTAAAGGATATTGTCCACAGGGCAAGTGGTAGTTGAGTTATCTATAAACTCATTGCTCTCAGTGCTTTGGGGAGACAAAAATCCTTTCGACTTTATTGAATGAGCGTTTCTGTCTAATCCCCTGCCAGGCCATTGTTAGCATTACCAGTGGCTGCAGAAACGACCTCCGAGTTGACCTGATCTCCCTCTTTGGAAAAAAGTCACAATTTCTAGAGACAAGATGTAATGATATTTCTAATGCTGGGCTGAAAGAACAGGTGCCTCCGTGTCAGCGCTCTCTGCAACAGGGAAGACAACAGCCGTGCGGAAGCTGTGTGATTTTTATAGCCAAACAATCACTAAGATGCTGAACATTTAAAGCACACCTGCATTTTTATTTAGTGGGAAATAGGAAATCTGTTGTGGGTATACGGTCCTAAACATACCACCTAAGTAAATTATAGTATACTATATGAAGTATGGCAAATGAATTCATTCCATGGGATTTTCAAATGTGCGTATGTTAAAATCACAGTACCATATTCATCATCACGAAAGCTAGAATTTTACTGCCAAAGAGTGATATTTTCTCTCTGTATGGTCACCACATACTGCCTCTACTTGCATTTGCTGGTATTCAGCCACTACATCCAGATTTTCCTGAACATTACCAGGATTTCAAAGGCGAAATTGACATCTGGGATTTCTGAAATGTGGTGCTTTGTCCTGGATCTTAGGCAAATCGGGGGAGGGATATTTTATTGTTCTATAACTTTGGGAGGGGGGTGTCCTGGTTTTTACTTTTTGAAATATGACAACCCTACACTATGCTTTCAGGCAACTGGCAAAATTCAGCTTCCCAAAACCACGATCACTTATTACAAAAGCCATGACAGATTAGAAGGAATTCTAATACAGAAGGAAGAATTCAGTGTTGCACTCTTCTGGTCATTCCATCAGCACAAGTATTCCTGCTTGCCAGATGAAACAATCCTCTCTTTCACTCCCCTGTGTGCTGTTCTGGGGGTTCTCCTGAAACTCCGGAGCAGATTTGGGTAATGTGAGGAGAAGGAGAGGAAAACCGCATTGCACTTTATCTCCATCTCCACTTTAAAAAGGGGGGGGGGCAAACACCGTCCTTTAAAGCCATATTTCATCAAGTCACACATTAAATATTACAGATCCTTATTAAGCGAATGACATATCACTTGTTTTATATTCTCCGGTGTTATAAATGACAGGAAAATATATTAAGAAAAATAAAATAAAAAGGAAGAAACAGGTCAAGTGTTTCAAAATCAAGTCTAACTTGGGGTGGAGGGTCTCAAAACATCTTAAATGAATCTTAGTAGGGGTTTTTTAAAAATCTGATAATGGAGCAGGACTTTTTTTTTAATTCATACCCTAAAGAATCTGCTTTCTAAGGGTTGGATCCAGACTTGCATCATACTTAAAGTCTTAGTCATGACAAACCTAAGTTCAATTTAATTCAGTTAAGCCTTGATCCATCCCTATATTTTCAACATCACATTTTAGGGACTTTTAAAAAATTGTCCCACTTTATAAATATATCATAGCCCCACAAAATAAGATGGTAATCTCATGGGGGGGGGGAGTTGGCTATGGAATGGCCTCTTAGTCCTTTTATAGAGTGGTGATCATAACAATGGAGGTGACCTTGATTCTAAAGTCTATTAAGCACTTTGCAGCTGCAGGTGTTGCATTTTTCCGTCAGTGTCTCCTTTCAGAGCGCCTTGCAGCCTGAGAGCTAACATCAGGACACAGCAGCGCAGAGATGAAAGTGCGAGAGACTTAATAACCATTGAATGCTTTCCACTTTCTCAATGTATCACAATTACAGAAACACCTGTTCTAAATAACTGTGTGTGCTTATTGATGGTGAAAATGTACAGTGCTCAACAGCCCTCAAAATTTCTCATTTAATTTTTATGGCGGGTGGTCTAGCAACAGCAAATTGGGTGCAGTGCAGGGCATGTTGGAGCACCGGGTCAATGGTTTGTTTACAGTACCAATAAAATACATCTGTGCTCCTATTCCCTGACTGTATAGCATGTTCTTTTATTAATTGTTCCCAGAATTAAAAATCCCAACCACATTATTTTGCTTAAGGAAACCCATACACAGCCCATCTGCAACTGAGGTCAGGAGGAATATAATGGAGAGCAAAACAATATGATTGCCCTTCCATAAAATGTTATATGCTTTGCTAGATGCAGAACATGGACTTTGTGAGGCAGCATCTTTGTAGATCCATTTCCCTAAGCGTTCAGCACAACAGGAGAAACAGTGGAGGTTCACAGTACAATATTGTTACCACAAAATGTGAATGTTAAACTGCTCTAACTTCCAATTTCTCACGGGACTTGGAGAGTTTAAAGCTTAATTTTGCACAAAAGCGGCATATGAATGCATGTTCCTATAGAGCTAATGTACCTACGCTTTCCCAAACAGCTGATAAAAATGGCTTGTGCCTTCTCAGCATATCAGAGCTCTCTCCCAGATTGTGCTAGGCTATCCCTTACCTGTTCCAAATATTCCACGTGTTGAGCAGACAGAGATATTGCTGCCCCTTCAACATGCTACGGATAGAAAGAGAGAGAGAGAGAGAGAGGTTGTGTGTGTGTACTAGCTCCCACCTGTCCTTTCCTAGTATGGGCTGTGGCCTCTATCCCAGTCTTGAAAGACCTACACTGGCTGCCAGCACGTTTCTGAGCACAATTCAAAGTGTTGGTGCTGACCATTAAAGCCCTAAACAGCCTCGGTCTGGTATACCTGAAGGAGCGTCTCCACCCCATTGTTCTGCCCGGACACTGAGGTCCAGCATCGAGGGCCTTTTGGCGGTTTCCTCGCTGTGAGAAGCCAAGTTACAGGGCACCGGGCAGAGGGCCTTCTCAGTAGTGGCACCCGCCCTGTGGAACACCCTCCCACCAGATGTCAAAGAGATAAACAACTACCAGACCTTTAGAAGACATCTGAAGGCAGCCCTGTTTAGAGAAGCTTTTAATGTTTAATAGGTTATTGTATTTTAATATTCTCTAGAGTTTTGGTGGAATGGATCATAGAATCGTAGAGTTGGAAAGGACCCTTAGGATCATCATCCACCCCCTTGCAATGCAAAACTGTGCAGCTGTCCCATATGGGGATCAACCCTGCGACCTTGGAGTTATCAGCACCATGATCTAACCAGTTGAGCTATCCGGTGTTTCCTCCCTCTGCACAAACCTTTCGGAGCAGGTTTGACTCCACCCAGTCCTAAATATAAAGCATCCATTGCAACAATGAGAATGGTATGGGTGGGGTTTGGATAAGGCAAGGCCCCCTTGGTGAAGCAGTGCATTTCTGTGTGTGCGCACAGTGGTACTTAGGCTGTGAAGGCCCCTTTCCATTACAGAGCCCTTTCCATTGCAGCTTCCTCTTCTGCCAGACTTTTCATTAGGGTTGAATTATTCCACCACCTGATGTTTCCTTTCTTCCAAAATGTTTGAGATGCTGGGATTTCATCTTCTGGTTTTATGTACAGTGTTGCATTTTCATTCATTCATTCATTCATTGGAGTGGTGTACAACAAGGTGGAAAATAAGATAAAATACAAAACAAAGAGCCCAAAGAACAATTTTAAAAATTCTACAAACTCTAAAAACATTAAAACGATTTCTACAGATGTACAATTAATATTCTGTAAGTGACTGGGTTGCACTTAAGAGAAATCTCTCTTAAACAAACAAACAAAAAATATTCTGAAGGCACCTAAATATCAGGAAGCTGTGTGCCTGCGTATTCTGAGCTGGGAGTTGATTCCAGAGGGCTGGAGCTACAAAACTCAGTTTCTAATACATCAGTGATTTTATTTATAGTGTTGGAGGGGGAAGGGCGGGAGAGTTTACCTTTTGTGCACCCCTTTAGAAACTGTCCCTATTCTCTTACATCCTCTTTGGGTTTCTTATAAGTGAAAGCCAGGCCATCAAATGGTACAGGATAGCTTATAAGCCCATCGTAACAGTGACACCAAGTGCAGCACTTTACCCCATAGGAGCAAAAGGCAGCCATACCATCCATTTTTTATGGAGCAAAGTACTCAGGGATGTCATTGGGGTGGGACCTAAACCCACCACATGACTTGGCCCTGGACACACTGACCAGATGCTTGGAAGCTGTGGCTGGATGGCTGCGTGGGAGCCAGTTGAAGTTAAATCCTTAGAAGACAGAGGTCCTCTGGCTGGGTCGGGACAACATGGGCTTGGGGAGCCAACTCCCATCTCTTGCGGGGGCTCAATTAGTGTCAGCGCCTTCCAGCAGGAGTTTGGGTGTAACCTTCGATGCCTCCCTCTCTGTGGAGGTGCAGGTTGCAGCTATAGCAAAGGCAACATTTTTCCACCTTTGCCGTGCTAAGCAGCTGGTCCCTTACCTTTCTCACCCTGATCTAGCCACAGTGATCCATGCAACGGTCACCTCCAGGCTCAATTGTTGTAACTTACTCTATGCAGGGCTGCCCTTGAAGCTGACCCAGAAACTCCAGCCAGTGCAGAATGCGAGGCTCCTTACAGGGTCCTTGCTGTGGGACCACATCCATCCAGTGCTATACCAGCTGCACTGGCTCCTGGTGGAGTACAGGTTTAAGGTGCTGGTTTTAACCTTTAAAGCCCTATATAGCCTAGGACCCTGGTATTTACGGGACCGCCTCTCCTGGTATGCCCCACGGAGGACCTTATGGTCCGCAAATAACAATATCTTAGAGGTCCCGGGCCTCAAGGAGGTTAAACTGGCCTCAACCAGGGCCAGGGCCTTTTCGGCTTTGGCCCCAGCCTGGTGGAACGCTCTATCACTGGAGACCAGAGCCCTGTGGGACTTGATATCCTTCCACAGGGCCTGCAAGATGGAGCTGTTCCACCTGGCTTTCAGTCCAGGCCCAGTTTGACCCCCCCTCTGTGGGACCCTGTGAGTTACCTCTTTGGCCCTTTTATCGACTCATGTGGGACCAACATGGATAGCTGGCCCTGATGAATACTTGAGGTTCCCGACCCCTATGGTTGTAATTTCATGGGCAGTCATTTAATTTTACCCTGATTCTAATTTTTAAGCTGTATTTTAATCAATTGTTTGAATGTGTTTTAATGTATTTGACATTTGATATTAGCCGCCCTGAGCCTGGTCTTGGCTAGGGAGGGCAGGATATAAATAAAAATTTACTTACTTACTTACTTACTTACTTACTTACTTACAAACACTGTTACATTGTGTTTCTTGGCCACAGTATGACATGACAGAATTGGCTATGCTTACATCTTTACAGGAATTTGTTCTCATTATCATGAAATTGAAGGCTACAGTATTTTGAGCTCTGTTGTGTCTCCTGCCCCGCCCCCCCCCAAAAGTCTTCCCTTTCCACGGTGCAGTTAAAGAAGCCATCCGGTGTCAATTATATACATGGGTGTGGGGATGTGCAGCAGAGTTTCTCTGACTTTGGCTTTTATTCACACTTCGTCTTTCACTTACACATTACGTTCATGGTGCAAACAAATTTACAGACACATGACAGTAGTTCAAAAAGGTGAAAACTAAAAGGCAGACGAGCTGCAGCCTTTCATCATGCAGCAAACACTCACGCACAACAAAAAACATTTCTATTTTCTGCTTTCTATTTTCAAAAGTGAGAAAGTTATCTCTTAGAAGGGCTCACAATAAATCTAACACATTTTCAAAACTATTTTTTTTACTGTGCCGTTGAAGTACAGTTCAAAAACTTTTTTAAACTGAAAGATAACTTTGGGCAATGTTAAATACTTCTATGCTGCAATCCTGTCCACATTTTGCTGGAAATAAGTGAGTAGATATTTCTAGGGTTACACTGGAATCAGACTCCTAAAGCAGGCAGCTAATTCTACATCAGATGTCCAAAGGGCAACTCTTCCAACCATAAAGATTGCATCCTAGTTTTGCTTTAAAAACTCCAAATTCTCTGACAAGATTTAAATTGCTTCTAGCTATCTTTTTGCCCCTCCTTCAAACTCCGCTGGCTGTTACATGCCCATGTCTGGATCCCATAAGAAGCATTCTGACCTTGAATTAACTTTCTGATCACTGTGGGATGTGAAACACAAGAACAGTCAAGTACAACATCCCTAGAGTAGACATAAAAGGGGATGTCTGGATCAGCCAGTCGGAACTTCCTGTTTCTCCTAGACTGGGACAGACTTCCTCTGCATGTGACT